CCCCGAGCCGCCGCCGCCGCGCACGGGGGACGGGGACGGGGGCGGGGGCGGGGACGGCGTGCCCGGCGCCGCCCCGCCGAAGCTCCCGAGGCGGCTGTACACCTGCTGGCCCTGCATCGGGCCGCCGCAAAGCCGCTGGCCACTCCGGGGCGGGCTAGGTTTAGGGCTGGCTGGCTGGCCCCCCGCCGCGCGATCGCGCAATGGGGACGGGAGGGCGGCCGCGCGACCGGGGGGAGGGGAGGCGCGGCGGTGCCGTGCGGGGAGGGAGGGGGGAGGCGCTGGTGCTGGTGCGCGGCACGTTGGGCGGCCTCGGTCGCACGCGGCGGGCCACTGCACTGCGCGAGCCGAGCTGGAGTCCGGTCGGTCTGGGCTTTTAGAAACCGCCCGTGCTACTTTTCGCGAGAGTCAAACCTCAAACGGAACCATAAAAGGGGAGGAAAGAGACGGGGCGCGGCGATCTCCAGCCGCATCCGACGGCGCAAAACCTGACCGCGATGAGCTTACGAATCCGCACTTCCATCTGCACTAGTAGAGCAGCTCCAACGTCTCTAAAATAACCGCCGTTGGGGCAATAAAAACCTCTTCACCAGTTCTTGTAAATTGACTTTATCTGTTTTAGAAGATCCCGTAAAAGGCTCTTTCTCCCTGCTGATTTATGAGAAGATAGCTTTTTCGTATTGTCTGATGAGACTGCAACCGTCTGAAACTTTCACGTGCTACCGTCTAGAGCATCGTCGCCTCGTCGAAACTTCGTCGGAAAGTCCCTGCCGCTCGCACCGCAACGATGTCGCGCCGCCACCTCGCCCCTCGCCGCCGCCCGCAACTGCCGACACGCCCATCCGCACCACTCGCCGATGTCACTAACTAGCAGGTCCTAGGAATTATATTTTTTGTTTAATTAAAAATAAAGTAAAAATGCACTAAAGGGAATAAGATTAGGGGCATGCTACGGGTTCGCCGGCTGATCTTGTCGCGAGCCGTCGGATTTACCGCATCACACGGTCGAACGTGCCTCCATTCAGCAACACGGGTCTTGTTGCGGAATTGTTTCTACAACACATGTCTTGTTGCGGAATTATTTTTGTAACACATGTCTTGTTGTGGACTTATTTCTGCAACACAGGTCTTGTTGCGGATTTTTTTGCAACATCAATTTTTTTGTATTTTTTGCAACTGAGGTTTTGTTGTAAATCTTTTTTTTTTTGCAACTGAGGTCTTGTTGCAGAAAAAAAATCGTAAGAGAAGTTTTGTTGTAAAACGTAGACCCATCATAGAGTATCGCAACACTGCATATGTTTCAGAAGCATAGCTCCTGTTGCAGAAGCAAGTTTATTAAAGAATGATATTTTTTTGAAATAAAGTACAAATGCACTAAAGGGAATAAGATTAGGGGCGTGCTACGCGTCCGCCGGCTGGTCTTTTTAAAAAGTTCAGCCGGGTATGCAGGATGCGTGTCACGCAGGAAAGATGATGGACGCGGCCTAGTTATCCGCCGGTTGATGGTAAATGTTTCCCATAAGATTAGGGAACCCACAAAAGTTGCTTCCAAGAATCTTCCCCCGACTTTTACAGGAAGGCCAAAAAGCCATTTATACCGGAAGTTTTTTTAGGGTAACTGTTGTAGTCACTCTAAAAGTAGCATAACAGAAAATCCAATTTTGCCCTCTTTTCTCATCAAAAAATAATGTACTAGCAAAAATCACTTTGACAAAAGAAAATAGCACGAACCCGTACAAATGCCAGAGTACATCGAAGTCTTTGGAGTGCTGAAGCAGTCTTCCTCCTGCATTCATCGACAGCGCGTGGTACAACGGAGCACATTTGTTAAAACCCAAGAGCTCGCGGACGTTGAAGGCGTTGATGTTGAAACTAAACTGAGACGAGAATTTTCCAAAGTGTCACGCGCAGCCAGGCGGCGTTCTCCACTGTGCTGGGAAAAGGCGAGCAACAGCTCGGTTCGGTTTCGAGCGGAGAAAAAAGGGGGAAGGGGTGTAGGTGAAAGCGACTGGTGAGTCGAGGAACGTACTCCCAGCGCGTTTCAGGCGCTTAAACTCGGTTAAGGTGCGGAACAGCGAGGGCTATGCAATGCCACTGCCACTATACGGTGTTTGATTTCGATAGCGACGGTCCGGCTGTCCGGGGGTAGTTGGATTGGAGCCGTGAATAAGTGTGAGACAACGGTGTGCTAATCATGAGCCAAGCCTGTGGATTTGGTGGTGAGGCCGTGCACCGGGGAACAGTGTGCTAAAACTAATCATTAGTCGTATTGAAAAAAAAACTAATCATTAGTCTTTTTTCCCTGAGAAAAGATCAATGATTTTTGCAAAAAGAAAAAGATAACGATTTGGGGGTGAATCCTACGGCCTACGGCGATACGTATAGCTTTTTATCAGAATAAAGCGCATTTTTTTCGGACGCATAATTTTTCAGCTCAAGCTTTAATGAGCTTCGTGAATGGTAAATTCCGGGGGAAAATCAGGAAATTATGAAATTTTTCTGGAGCAAACACCTGACAAAAGTTTTCAGTGCGTACAAAAAATTCAATGCTCCAAAAGTGTTATTTTCGAAAGCATTTCGAAGTGCTAATTTTGCTTTTTTGATTTTTTGCCACGACTTTCACGAATGTGATTTCATGCTGAAACTTTGTAAGCACTTAAAACATTTGTAAGAGTTCAACATACAAAAAAATTGGAATTTTTTTATTTTGTTTTTATTTTTTTAATGATTTTACTTTTCATCACAAGCTCAAATGAGCTCGGGAGCATAACATAAATTTCGATTTTCTTTTCTCCTTCCACGCAGCATTTGTGTGACTGATTCTACGTTCACGAGACCATTGCCGCATCCTCATGTCAATTGGCTTGTCTCCAAGAGTCCAAGCTCCAAGGCTATTGACCCCGTTTGGCGCCGCCTTCTTAGGTGGCCAACGCCTAAAAAACTTTGCCCATAGGCCCGCTGATGATACAAAAGGCAGAATCTTGCTTCTATGGGATAAGAATGTTGTTTTGGTCACTGATGTCTACTACACAACCTTCTTCTTGTAGATGTTGTTGGGCCTCCAAGTGCAGAGGTTTGTAGGACAGTAGTAAATTTCCCTCAACTGGATGACCTAAGGTTTATCAATCAGTAGGAGGCGTAGGATGAAGATGGTCTCTCTCAAGCAACCCTGCAACCAAATAACAAAGAGTCTCTTGTGTCCCCAACACACCCAATACAATGGTAAATTGTATAGGTGCACTAGTTCAGCGAAGAGATGGTGATACAAGTGCAATATGGATGGTAGATATAGGTTTTTGTAATCTGAAAAATATAAAAACAGCAAGGTAACTAATGATAAAAGTGAGCACAAACGGTATTGCAATGCTAGGAAACAAGGCCTAGGATTCATACTTTCACTAGTGCAAATTCTCTCAACAATAATAACATAATTGGATCATAAAACTATCCCTCAACAAGCAGCAAAGAGTCACTCCAAAGTCACTAATAATGGAGAACAAACGAAAAGATTATGTGTAACATCCTCGATGCGACTATAGCTCCCACGTGTCAAGGCACGACTTAGAGACATAATCGCATTGAAGGCATATGTCGCAAGTTAGACAATCTTCACAACATCCCATGTAATATGATAATAAAAGGGGAGATAACGTAGTTGGCTTACACTCGCCATGTAAATCAAGTACATAAATAACATTACATCATCCAAACATTCATGGCCCGACTACGGCGCCAAACTAAAAGAGAACCCAACAAGCGACACGGTCCCGTTCACCCCCAACTGGGCACCACTACTGATCATCGGGAAAGGAAACATAGTAATGTTGAGAGTCTTCGTCGAACTCCCACTTGAGCTCATACACGTCTCCTGGAGCGGAATCATCAGGCCCTGCATCTGGTGTAATAGTAATCTGTGAGCCACAGGGACTCAGCAATCTCGCACCCCCGCGATCAAGACTATTTAAACTTATAGGTATGGCAAGGTAAATATAAGTGGAGCTGCAGCAAGCGACTAGCAAGTATGGTGGCTAACTTATTCGCAAAATAGAGCGAGAAGAGGAGGCAAAGCGCGAGCGAGAAACTAGAGAGGAACCTGCGCAAACATTACTCC